GCCGGGGCTGGGTCCCCCGCGCGCGCTCTCGCCGTTAGGCCGCGCGCCGGTGGGGCAGAAAGGCGGCAGCGGAGCGGGGAGGGGCGGCCGTCGGCCTGCCGGGTCTCTGCCGACCCCCTCACCGCGGCCGGGGGGGAAGGGACTGCAGCAGAGACGCCTCTGCCATCGTGGAGGGGCTTGCGAGGAGGATCGGTGCCGGTCACATCGGTTTTTCCTCAGAGGGCGCGGCCCAACGTAGCTGCACGGCTTTTGTAGGCGTAGAATAAACCCGTCCTAGCCCAGTCGGTCGGTCGCGTACAAATTCGTAAATCGGCAGCAGAAGCCTCTTTAAATTGCTGCCGCCTGCGCAGTTTTATTATCCAGGCAGGGGGTGAGATTATATTGTCACAGATTTAAAAAACCCTCTGATTTAAGACGAGCTTAAGGTACAGAAGCATACAGTACTGCCCACAGCTGTGGGGTTTGGAAAGCATGCAAGGCAGATGCACTTAGACGAGTTCAGAGTTTTGGATTCCTTTTTAAATACGTTTAATCCCCTGGGGCTGCAGGCATGCCTTCTCTTTCTTCCGGGTTTCTTTTTTTTTTCCCTTTTCTTCTCGCGGTCTGGAAAATTTCCATCTGCCAAGAAGCAGCCAGCCTGTAATAGGGGCACAATGCATGTTGAGCTACAGTTTAATCGTTCACTTTGTTCGCTTTAAGCTTTGTATTTCCGTGTCTGTCTGCAGCAACTACTTCTTTAAGTTAAATGTGTACAGATTAACAGGATCAGATGGAGCACCTCAAAACAGATTTCCATTGACAACTGTCCATCTTGGACTTTGGCTTTAACACCAGTGTCCCCTTTTAAACAACTCGGCCTTGTTTTGCCCAGATAGGCTTGCCCTCTGTTTGCAAACGTATCAGTTAGGAAAGCACAGACTGTTTTATATCCAACTGAAAGCATAACTATTTAGATCACAGAAACTAAAGATCAGGTTCCTACTCCTGACTTGCAGAGACACTTGAAAAGCAAAACCATTGTCAGTATTTATACTTGCCTGGAAAAAAAGGCCTTTTGAGAATTGAATTTGATAGGGAACAAATGCATTGATTAGCTCGGGATTTTGGATTAATCCTCTGATTCATGCTGTGGATACCAGGAAATCTAAATATAGCTAACATTTCATGTCCTCCTTTCAGGCTGACAGAAGTGAAACCCAAGTGTGGGTTTTGATAATTGGCAGGCTTTCAATTTGGTCATGCTGTGTTTCACAGAAGGAAGCTAACATACTGTTGTTATGAGTTGAGGGTAACAGAAAAGAAAAAGCAACTCAAGAAAGTAAATCTGTTTTTAAATACCTCTAAGTATGCTGAAATAAGGGTGTGATGTTGCTGTCACCCCACAATAAAATGGAAAATATTATAATTCCAAGTGTTTGGTTCCACTCACCTGGTGGCCTAGCCCACATTCATCTGATGCAACAACAGTGATGCCCAGCATGTTCGGCCTTTTGCCAAGTTGACAGTTACTCACTAAGTGCTAAGTAAAGAAACCTTTCTTCATCTAAGAATTGCATGAAAGGTAAACCAAGAGCTTCTAAAGCAACATTCTTTGAGCTGTGAAGAACAAGTTTAATGGCAGCCTCCAGAAAGCTCATGTCACAGCCATTGTCTACTGAAGCAGCCACTTAGTAAGTTACCTTTGACTGTGTGTTTTTGCAAGCACCCAGATTTTGTCTAGTAATTTAAAACGTAGTTTTAACAAATATTTCAGATCTACAGATGCAATTGTGATTGGCATGGGGAAAGTACAATGGCAAGGCACTCCAGCCCAGAATTACAGCGTCTCTGGGGTACATGTATTGCTCTTTGCTGCTTGATTATGTCAGACCATCCTGCTGTCTTTTTTTTTGGCATTCACCGTTAATCCCTTTATTATGGCATATAATACCTTTCACTCATAATTTTGCTCTCAGCAAACTTTGAGCAATTAAGTTAGAAATCCCTCACTTTAAATTTAGTGTGGTTAGTTACAGTGATCTAATGGTCCAGTTCAAATTGCTCTGGTGTAACAGCATGAGCTTACTACAGACTGCATCCCAGCCTATTGGATTTTCATCAAGTTGGGTGTTACTCTACAAAAGGTTAAATAAGCCAAGCTTTCTACATTTTTCATCATGCTAGGTGAATCATCATTAGTGAATTTTTATCTGTGCTGAGCCAAGTGGTGTGTTTACTTTATCTGGGCTGGAAAAGAGATCCGAGAAGCCAGTAAAAGATCTTGCTTGCCAGTGTTAGCCAAGGGAGCCCAGTTCATGGCTAGGTGACAGAGAACTTCAGGCCAGACAAAACAGCAAAGAGCTGCATGGGTTTTTTTTGTGGGGAAGTTTGTATGTTCAATTGTGTATGTCCATGGATACACTCTTAGTAGTCGTTCTCAGATAGCCTAAGAAAATCACAATTCACTTCACAGGTCTGTGTTGAAAAGTATTGTTCAAGTCCTCAATAAATGTGACAGAACCAAATATCATGTGCAGATGAAAAAACTCTTTAAAATCGAAGCAAATACATTTCTCCCACCTTTCCCCCTGGGAGCCACAGTGCAAATGTTTCAGCAGTTGTTTGGAGAGCATGCATTGAACATGCTCATTTTCATGACCTTACCTCATATTTTCACGTATTCATATTTTAGCTGACCTGGAGCAAAGTCATCACTCTCATTTGCTACATCACAACTTCATCAACCTTTGAAAATTCAGGATATCATTATGCAGATGGCCAGCAGAAATGCCTTGCCTTGATCTATCTGCAGTACTCTCAATTAGATGTGGTCTGGTCTGTGTAGGATTGTTTCTCAGTGAGTCATGCAGATTGCTCTGTAGTTTCTTCTAGGCAGTGCTGTACTATGCATGGTTAGCGGGCTCCGAGTGTGACATTGTTTCCTGAATGATGTAACTGAAAATTCCTCTTCCTGTGCTTCTTGTTTCCTGATCAGTTTTCTTTTTGTTCTCAAAGACATTCCAGCAGCTGCATATCTTTTCTTCCTGATCTTTTATTCCTACGAATCTCTGTGAAGACAAGTTATGTCAACAGCTACTTTAATTAATTTGGTACGAAACGGAGGGTATCAAGTAAGAAGGAGAGCCGTGCTGACGTCCCGCCTCTTGCAAGACGAGAAGCGTCCGACAGCCGCCTGCTACAGCTCCACTTCTGAGCGCCGTGCTTCCCGCTTTGATCCAGACGGGAGCGGGCGACCTACCACATGGGACACCTTTGGCATCTGGGACAATCGCATTGACGAACCTATTCTCCTCCCACCAAGCATAAAGTATGGGAAGCCAATTCCAAAAGTCAGCCTGGCCAACGTGGGCTGCGCTAGCCATATTGGGAAGCGTAAGGAAAATGAAGACCGGTTTGATTATGCTCAGCTGACGGAGGATATCCTATACTTTGCAGTATATGATGGACATGGCGGGGCAGCAGCAGCAGACTTCTGTGATAAGTACATGGAAAAATATATTAAGTAAGTGTGCATCAGGTGAATGTGTATCAAATGAATTACAGTAGAGATTCCTTCCTTAGGACTGAAAGGGAACCGGTAGGTCATACATTGTCACTAATTCTCCTAGGCTATATAGCCACCTAGCCCAACGGGACAGCAGGAACACTGGACTGGAACAGTCCATTACAATGGACACGCTATGAACTGCCTATTCTGTATGGTGCCTGCCCCATTGAGGCAAGCTGGCAAAGACAAGAGAGGAAAATATGATTGTACCCACCTTCCAGGAAAGGACTGGGAACACAGAATTGACTGTTTTCAGATGGGGTCACTGTGATCACTGACCTATGGCTTGCTTACACTCTTCTGTATCTCTGTGTCACATCCCTGGGTCTTGGAAAAGGAATTCTATCTATTTGCAAAATTACAGGATTATGCTGCCAGTGCAGGTCATTAGTAAAATCATATTACCTTTTCACTGAAATCCAGCATTATTCAATGCATGCAGGGAGGAGATAAGGCTATGGAAGAGATTGATCAAGATGTGTATTTCTTGGAAAGAAGTTTAATTTTTTTTGTTTGCTTGTTTGTTTCCAGAGAATTTCTTACTGAGGAGGAGAACTTGGAAAATGTTTTGAACAAAGCTTTTCTAGAAATAAACAAAGCATATGAAAGGCATGCTCATCTGTCTGCTGATGGTAGGTAAAAAAATATTCTACTTGTATGAGTGTGGAGAATAAGGTTTTTCTTATTTGCTCAGTTGTTTTTTAGTGAAATGTCCAGAAAGATACTTGAAAACTGTTTTACTTAACATAGGATTTTGCTCTGATCACTTACGGCAAATGAAACAGTTGTGCTTTACCTCCTTAAAATTAAAAAGCTATAAAAAGTCTCAATCAAATTTACTGGGGGAGTTATTAGTCTGAATGTTAGCATAATCATCAATGAATTTCTCTTAACATGATTCTGTCAAGGAAAGTGTCAAGTTAGCAAAGAGCTATTTAGATTTGCAAGGAGCCTAACTTTATTTTGGAAAAAACCCGGGGGGGGGGGGTGGTTTGGGGTTTTTGGTGGTTTGGTTTTGTTTGTTTGTTTGTTTTTTAAAGCTGTTATTCCTATGCGTTAAAAGCAACAGTGTCAAAAGTTCCCCTTTCTAACTTGGCTGCTGCACCTGAGGAGGAGTGTAACCCAAAATTAATACAATTGATAACTGCTCCTGCACAAACAGAATCACAGGAGTAGCGGAGCATGAAAGGGAAAAAAGCAGTGAAGAGGAAAACGAGGTTGGCTGTGGTAAAGTTCGCACCAGCTCTTTTAGACTCAATAGTTCTGGCTGTTAATCAAGTTCTTGTATACGTGTCTAGCAACTAAGTACATCTGAAGTTCCAGTTCCAGCAACTCGAGGTTATAGAGATTATGGAGAGTAAATTGGGAAGGAGATAGAGGTCCCCATCCCAGTTTTGTCACAGGAGTTTCCTCAGCCATGAGATAGAATTTTAAGAGTCAGTTTGGCCAATCTTATAAAAAACCCCAACAAACCAAACCCAATTAAAAAAAAAAAGAACCCAGCAAAAACCTGTCCCATTGCTGGTGCAGGTGATGGCAAAATGACTGAGGTAGTTTCAGAAGAACAAAAACTGTAAATGTTTTATCTCCCAGAAGGACTTGAAACGAACAAGCCCTCTAGGGACTGAAGTGATACTGTATTCTCAAGCTACTTTTCTTAAGAAATGAATGAATACAGTCAAGTAATGGAGTGGCTTCCTGCACTTTAACTGCTAGATAAATCTAGGTAGACTCAAATATTTCCTTGCAGAACAGGTAGCCTGACTGTTGCAGCACTATGAGGGATACACACCTTTCCTCCTACCTGATACAAGCTAAGGTATCAGGAAAAAAGTCTTAAGTCCTGAAATGCAGTCCTTAAAAAAGGGAGATTAAATCTATAAAGCTCATTTCCCCATTATATCCCATTTTATTTTTTTTATATTGAAAGCCTTTAAAAAAAAGATATGGTAAAAAAGTCCAGAGTCACTTTTGACCTACGCGGTAAATTTTAACTGAGCTCATGAGAGACACATCAGTAGAACAGATGTGCTTTTCATCCAAGAACCTCCTTGAAAATATGTTTTCTTAAAAGCCCACATTCAAGAAAGCATCTGAATACAGACTTATGTGCTTTCCTGGATCAGGACCTTTCATTTTCACTAACATGAAGATCTGTTATATTTGTCCCCCTCCCCGCCCCTTTGTTAGTAGGACAGCTCTTGGTTTGGCTCATTGAAGTGACCTCTGTTAAGTGTCAGAGCAGCTCCTTGAGGAGAAGGATTGGGAACTGTACTTGGCATATTATTCTGCTATTCTGCAAACGGTTTCTGATTATAACATTTCGTACATGAGACTTACGGAACTGTGTGACAACAGTATTTGACAGACAAGTTGTGCAGCAAGCTGAGCACTTTGGAACCACATATAGGATTTTTTTCATATCATTTAACTAACTGGTGCTGCTTAATGAAATATAATGCAAATGCCAGCAAATTTACGTAACAGTTACCAAGATACTGGACAAACCCTCTTCATTAAAAAAGCATGAGGTCAAGCAAAATAGAGGGCAAAAGTGTTGTCAGACATCCGCAGGGCCCACGCTCTGGCAAGCACTCAGTGTTTCTCAGGTAGGCTGAGCACCTGCAAGCTCTTGCAGGAGCCAGTGGGATCTAAAAGTGCCCAGCTCTCTGCTCTTGACTGGTTGCCCAGCTGAAAATCAAGATATAAGGCAGAGTGGAGTAACAGGGTGCAAAGACAAGTAAGGATTTCTGAACAAATTAAACTTTTTGCATATTTGTTGTTAGAATAATTCAGTACTATGTTGACTGCTTGGTGTTGTTATTTCTGTTGTTGCTGCTGTTTTGAAAGTTACGTAAAATGTCAATGCTTGGCATGTATCCTTGCTAGAAGCCTGCTTCCAAACTGATTCAGTTTGCCAGCAAAATTTCTGATTAATTGTGGCTATTCTAGATGTGACAGTCAAAACTGTTGCTAAAGTATCTTGAAAATGGTGGCTGGTTGTGTAACATTGGGTATCTGGGATACACTGGACGTTCCCCAAGACTGACGTCCTTTTGAAACCTGGCCATAGCTGATGAAGTGGAAAATGATAGCTTAGTCTTGTTCAGTAGATGACCCTGCCAGGGTTCGCTTCTTTCACTGTATCTGCAAAAAAACCAGTGCACGTTCAGGATGTTCAGGGTTTTACCCTACTAACACACAACCAGCTTTGAAAATGTGTGCCTGGCTGTTTGAAGTAACATAAGTCCTGAGACAAATCCCTGTAGCCAAAATTGCATGGATATTGTTTGATGCATTGTTTATAGTACTATTTAAGGGGTAAAAACCTCATGTAATGGCACAAATTTAACAGGACTAGAGATGTGCCTTGTTAGAGCACCTAGCTATGTTTTTAAGGGCACAGCCCTTTGTAGGTCACTTTATAACTACAGAATATTTGAAATTATAGGTGTAAAATACATAGCATAATAGTTTCTGTGAGCTTCCAATAAAAAAAAAGTATGCGTATGTGTTCCAGGTACTGCTACTGTGTCTGGCGTGCAGTTCACTAGTACTGTTGGAGTGCTGTACTGGCCCTCTGGACACTGGCCCAGTATCTGTACCTGTTGTTTCACACAAAAGCATAAGAAACTTGCTGTAGGCAGATCTGGCATAATTTGTCCTCCACCTAAATCCTTTCTAATAATTAATAGCTTAGAGATATGCCTGAGCTCTGAAGCATGGTGTTTGGTATCTGTTCAAAAATGCATTTTCATTCACTTCCATGCATTTAAATATATCCAGTCACTTTTAAATCACTGCTGAACTTAGGTATAGGACACAGTAAAGGAAGCTCATGCCCAACAAACATGTTATTATCCACGGGACAACTGTTGACACAGATGGACAGAATTTTCTGATATTTTTGACCGGCCATAAAAACTGAAATGTAAAGGCTGAATAGCTTTGCTCAGCAAGGACAGAAATAAGGAAGTGAATCATGTGCTTGAGGAAATTTGAGCACCTCTCTGGAGAAATGTAAGAAAGACAAACCCTCTCCTGGCCTAGTGCGGTCCTAGAAGGTACTGCTACTGCTTCTGTTCACTGAGATCCACTACTCAGAGAAAACAACATGGAGTCTTTCCATTGACTTCCACGTTCAGTGCATCCAACTCCAATCACATTGGCCACTCACTTCTGGAATAGCCACCTTAGTAAAACATAGCCAGGTATTAACTGATATATCTGTGTTTGAAAGGCACTTCTGGAATCTTACTATGCTGAGCAAACAGCAAAAGTTATTTTAAAATATCTAAATTTTAAAAGTAGTGGGTTTTGGTTTTGGGTTTTTTTTAAGTTACCATTCAAACATATGATTTTTCTTTCTTTGAATATGTTAACCTGCAACACTGAGGAAAAGGGAGAGCTGCAGAAATTGTACTTAAACATTTCATAAATCTGCCGACATTACAAAGGCAGCCTTTTTATCCAAGGGCCCTGATTATTATCTAATGAAGTTAGAAGATACTGATTACAATATTAAAGGAGTGTTTATTATGCATATTTTGCCGTGGGTCAGAACAATTCATATACTTCTATTCAGTGCCTTTAAGATGGCCCCATTTTGTTTGGCACCAGTTTAAACTCCCCATTTTTGTGTTATATATAAATATATATATATAAAAATAAATAAATTACCTTGAAGAAACAGATTGGGCCATATTCTGTACTGAAGATGTTCTTCCGAGTGGCCAGTCTTGCCATATATGAGGCAGCTGGCCCTCTAGCACTGATAAAATTCTTTAGTTGATTTGTTGGTTGGTTACTTACCTCCACGGCACGGGGGGGGG